GTCAAGAACAGAACATCAGTCACCTCCGACCATGAGGGTATGTCCAATTGAAATAGATTGAGGCTGTAGAGAGATATCATCCTGCTTACAACTTTGGCAATCTCACATAATTTGCATACTCAGCCATACCCCAGTATTATACACACTTATACTGCCGATATGCTTCACGGAGCAGTCATTCAAAAGTGTTTTATATGGAAACTTGAATCAACAAGCTGGCCTGACATGTTTTGACCAGGCTGCTCAGCCAGAACATTAACTGGTGGGGATGTATCCCGAAATAACTCAATAAAGCTAAAGGCCTCTAAAGAATTCAATGCCAAGAGGTTTTCATGGTTTCAGGTTTCAAGCATTGCTTTACGAATCACATGGCAGTTGTCAGATGTTTTTTTTTAATTTCATGCATTTCTACATTGATCTCTCACATGGCAGTTAGTGATATTCATAGAGTCAATATTTCAGGATGGACCTGGCAAACATGTGATTGATCATATACACACCGAACCAAACAAACATGTGATTGATAGTATGAACATTGGACCAGACAAACCAGTGATTGATAGTATGAACACTGGACCTGACAAACCAGTGATTGATAGTATGAACACTGGACCATACAAACCAGTGATTGATAGTATGAACACTGGACCATACAAACAGGTGGTTGATACTATGAACACAGGACTGGACAAACCAGTGATTGTTAATATGAACACTAGATCAGACAAACCCGTGATTGATAGTATGAACACTGGACCAGACAAACATGTGATTGATAGTATGAACACAGAATCAGACAAACCAGTGACTGATAGTAGGAACATAGGACCAGACAAACCAGTGATTGATGGTATGAACACTGGACCATACAAACATGTGATTGATAGTATGAGCACTGTACCAGACAAACCAGTGATTGATAGTATGAACACAGAACTGGACAAACCAGTGATTGATAGTATCAGCACTGTACCAGACAAACCAGTGATTGATAGTATGAACACAGCACTGGACAAACCAGTGATTGATAGTATGCACACTAGACCAGACAAACAGGTGAATGATAGTATGAACACAGGACCAGACAAACCAGTGATTGGTAGTATGAACATTGGGCCAGACAAACCAGTGATTGATAGTATGAACATTAGACCAGTCATACAAGTGATTGATAGTATGAACATTGGACCATTCCAACCAGTGATTGATAGTATGAACAGTGGACCAGGCAAACCAGTGATTGATAGTATGAACACTGGACCAGACAAACCAGTGATTGATAGTATGAACACTAGACCAGACAAACCACCAGTGATTGTTAATATGAACACTAGATCAGACAATCCAGTGATTGATAGTATAAACACTAGAACAGACAAACCAGGGAATGATAGTATGAACACTAGACCAGACAAACAGGTGAATGATAGTATGAACACAGACCAGACAAACCAGTGATTGGTAGATTAGTGATTGATAGTATGAACACTGGACCAGTCATGGACCAGACAAACCAGTGATTGATAGTATGAACACAGGACCAGGGAATGATAGTATGAACACTGGGCCAGACAAACCAGTGAATGATAGTATGAACAGTGAACACTAGGCCAGACACAGGACCAGACAAACCAGTGATTGGTAGTATGAACATTGGGCCAGACAAACCAGTGATTGATAGTATGAACATTAGACCAGTCATACAAGTGATTGATAGTATGAACACAGGACCAGGGAATGATAGTATGAACACTGGGCCAGACAAACCAGTGATTGATAGTATGAACACAGGACCAGACAAACCAGTGATTGATAGTATGAACCCTAGACCAGACAAACCAGTGATTGATAGTATGAACGCTGTGTCAGACAAACCAGTAATTGATAGTATGAACACAGGACCAGACAAACCAGGGAATGATAGTATGAACACTGGGCCAGACAAACTAGTGAATGATAGTATGAACACAGGACCAGGAAACCAGTGATTGATAGTATGAACAGTGGAGCAGACAAACCAGTGATTGATAGTATGAACACAGGACCAGACAAACCAGTGATTGATAGTATGAACATAGGACTGGACAAACCCGTGATTGATAGTATGAACACAGGGCCAGACAAACCAGCGAATGATAGTATGAACAGGTTGCGTATGAATGGTCAGGGTATGATGACTCACATGCAGCCATTTCACGTCCACATGACCCCATGTTTTTTTCCTTCAGCAAAGACTGGCTCATTTGCACTCTGTATCCCCACAGGGTAAGCACAGACCCTGAAACCCTTAATTTGTCAGACTTACTCAACAAGAAGATTTGAACATACCAATACAAGCTTACCAAGTTTACAAAGGTTTTATTTCTTCACTGCCTGAAAGAATAAAGGCTTTGACTTTCATTTGAGAGTTTTAGAACGATGTTTTTGTAGTTTAGTCAGAAGCTTAGGCCTGCATTATGGAGGAAGTGTTGGACCAGACATGTTTAGGTTTAGCTGATTTCATGTGTCTGATGGCTTTGTGTTGCGATTACTTGGCAGATCAAGTATTTGTTTGGCACAGTACGTCTTGATCATCAATCATTTTATCTGGTGGTGCAACTGAATTAAATATATTTGGTTTCTTACCTGTTTACAGATTTTACATGATTTCTTTGACATTATTACCCTATTGCATTGATTTTCTCATACACATTTTTAAGACTGTGAGGTTTTCAGTGAAAAATACTTGTATGCTGAAACAATACTAAAGACTTCAAGTCAGTGTTCTTTGTAAATTTGACCCGTGAAGGTCCGGGTTAGAATATTAATCTTCAGTAACCCATGCTTGTCGCAAGAGGCAACTAATGGGATCAGGTGGTCAGGCTCACTGACTTGGTTGACACTTGTCATCGGTTCCCAATTGTGCAGATCGATGCTCATGCTGTTGATCATTGGATTGTCTGGTCCAGACTCGATTATTTACAGACCGCTGCCATATAGCTGGAATATTGCTGAGTGCGGCGTAGAACTCAACTCACTCACTCAGTCTTTTGAAATTGAAAAAAGCATATTGAGGTTATTCAGTTTCTTGTATTTTGTGTCACTCACTCACTTTACCTTCTCACTTTGGACAAGCTCTTGTACTCACTCACTCACTCACTACCACTTGAAACCATTGAAGAACCAGGTTAAAAATGGTTTTCAGCAACACATGCTTGTCGTACCAGGTAATAGGCTCAAACAGGATCGGGAGGTCAGACTCACTCACTTGGTGGACTACGTTATGATGTCAATCACTGGATTATCTGGTCCACACTCAATTATTTACAGACCAGATGGTATTGGAATATTGCTCAGTGTGGTGTTAAACAAGAAACAAACACTCACTCACTCAACCATTCAACCACTCATTCAACCACACATTTAACCACACATTCTTCAGCCGCCACAGATTATTATCTTCAAATTAGTTACAAATTATTTTGTTTTTTTTCACCCATTGAAATGCTTGAACAATTACCCTATGTTGGCCGACATCCTATATAAACACATTACGATGGCTGATGCCTCCTCACCTCTTCATCAGCCACTGTGTCTTTCACCATTGACTCGGGCGGTGGGGTATCCTAGTGGTTAAAGCATTCGCTTGTCACGCCGAAGACCTGGGTTTGATTCCCCACATGGGCAAAATATGTGAAGCCCATTTCTGGTGTCCCCTGCCGTGATATTGCTGGAATATTGCTAAAAGCGACGTAAAATCAAACTCACTCACTCACTTCACCATTGACTCACAGATCACTCCAGCTTTCATACAGGTAGCAGCATGGGTGAAGCTGAGAAAAAACAAGCTCAGAGGAATTGTGTGTAATTGATGATGTGCGTACAGCTGCAGAGGAGGGTCCGCTCTGGTCCACTCAGCTCTACTCACGTCTAGAGGCTACAGCTGTTTTACCTGTGTGTTAATGCAATAGTTACCTGACAGGTGTTTCACCACCAGTTTACCTTAACGTACCTGGATTTGTAGATGCATGGAAATCCATGCTCAAAGCTCAGGTCACAAATCGGTGAAGGTAAGCAGCGTCGAGCTTGGAGAGTCCTTGGATGGGTGACCATGTTTGGCAGCTTGACTCCTGAGAGTTTCTAGGACTTGAGTCCTGCCCCACAACAAAGCACATGTGACACATGTGGTCTCACCTTAGGCAAGTGAGTTTGTTCAAAATTGTCTCTGTTCACCCAGCAGGAAAATGGGTACCTGGTGGAAAAAGTCATATGACTATAACCTTCTAGCGCCTAACAGGCAGCTTGGGTTATCCGGGGTAATAATGTGCTGTGCCTTGACTGTTAGTTCTATGAGCATACCTAGTGTGGAGTTTGGCGCTATATAAATGGACACATTATTATTATTATTATATGATGTGTTATATTGTAGTAATATTTGTATGTTGGTGTATCGTAGAGTTTCCTGGTAACAAAAATGCATGCGGGGATTTATATGAAGTGTAGATGAGTTCATCTATTCTGGAGATATCTGAGATTACAATCAAACTGAATTAATTCACAGCAAACATTATTCATAATAAAAAGATTTGTCAGCATGAAAAAACCTGTTTATTTTGCTTGACACTGTAAAAAAATCTTTAAAGAAAATAAACACTTTGAACATAATTGTATGAAACATTCAAACAGTGAATTTCAGTTTAATGTTATGTCAATCAAGGAAGTGACATTTTCACAAATAGTACCATCATGCTATTTAATATAGATGCTAAGTAAAAAAGTTTAGAACAGACCTGCAAGTAAAAGCTGTTGTAAACAAGGTGTACTCTAGCTCTCATACCTGTACAGGTGTGTTCAGTCAGGACGACTGTCAACAGGGAAATTACCTGATGTTGAGGTCACCTGGACGTAAAAATGTGCTAATACAACAGGCAGGATTTCTTTCCTCAAATGATATGTTGTTCCTTGACTGTATCTTAAAGATCTACCTTTAACGAGAATTACCTGTGTTTACCTGAACCCGTAACAAGTGTTACCTGTATGGTCTCATGTATACTTGGCAAGCTATTGTGTTTGTTTGAGTAGTGTGTGATGAACGTCACACGGCTGTAGACTGGTGTTGCCATCTAAAGGCTATTTAAGCAACACTTCCGATCGGTCATACGTCCAGCGATCAATGAATGGGAATGTTCACTGTTTATCAGGTTTGGAGTTAATGCATTCAGCGTTTTATTAAGGAGCGATATTGTTGTAATTGAGCCGACTGTGTCTCGGTCTGTCTGGTGTCTGTGGAATTTATTCTTCCTTCGCATTCATTCATCCACGACAGCAGGTTCGAGAAGAGAGATAATGTTTATCATATTCAGTGACCTGTTGCCATAACCCGTTCGGGCTTACCTGCCTACCGTAAAAAAAAAATCTGTGATAGCACTGTGGTGTTTCACGGAGGCAGTAAATCGCATTCACATGACCTCAGCACAACATAAACACAACCAACAGCATGTGCTTGGAGCTCTCCAGTCAATACAGACCCAGCGTAGTACTATACATTCCTTCAATGCTGTGAGTGCCATCCTTACCGTTGAGGCAGAGAATCTGGTGGAGGATTTGCTGTCACTCACGGACTGCCCACGAGGGAGGGAGGAGTTGGAGAATCTGTGGATGCAGGGTCAGTCCTATATCCATCGCTTGTTCACAGCTTGCTGACACAGATGTGGATTGGATGGCCAGTGCTTGAATGGATGTAATTAGGCAGTGAATGTGTTGTCAGTGGAGCTGTCATCGTAGTGGATACCTCAGCTTAAGGTGCTGTCGTTGTTTGGAGACTGGCACACCTGTTCCTAGTTAACCTGCTATTTGCATGTGGATCTTCACAGTGTTAGTGCATACAACCAAACTTTGTGTTTATCGGGATTCTGTAAATAAGCACATTAGCTGTTGCTTACCCTGCAGTGTGTATTGATGCAATGTGAAGTTCGGAGTATGGTGAGCCTTGTGTGTTTATAGCGGAAGATTTGGGCATAAACATATCTTATGGTTGTGATATTTTCAAGTCTTTCTATAATTTATGCATAATAAGTAACAGTAGTGAAGCTATTGTATATGCAAGTGACAGGTGTGTTAATATCTTGGGAGATTTGGAGATTGGCCTGAAGAAGGAATAAATCATAGCCTGATTCATTCATAACTGTGCTTGTGCTCACTGCTTGACACTGATCACCAAGATAGTGTTACGTTTAGGATAATTGGGAATATACCGTGTGTGGAAGAACTGAATTGTCAACATGCAGGGGGAAATTGGAAGCATACAAGACCTTCATTCACAACAACTGCAACGTCTACGGAACCGGCGCCACACCTTAGCCAATGTTCGGTGAGTACCATGATGCATGTGATACATAGCTACTTGATACACATGATACAGAACTAATACACATGATACATAGTTGATACACTTACAGTCGGTCACAAATGTCTGACTTAGTATTTTAAAGGAAGGTACTGTTTTGCTTTAGTAGCAAAAAAAATCCATGACCTAAAATAATCATGACAAGATTCGATAACAAAGAGTCACCTGTTTTTTTAATGGTTTTGATCAAGTTAGAGATTAAGCCAAGAAGTTTCTAATTTTGTGGAAAATCTATGTGTTGAATAAAATATGCCTTAATGACAAGACTGATCAAGTTGATCAGAATGTCCTCGCTAATCAAATGTATTTCTATTCAAGTCCTACAGTTTTCTGGCAAAACAAATTAATGTAATCAAGCAGTCGATATTGGTTTCTTCATTAAAGGAACGTGAGCCCTTTCCAGTATATGGTACTGAGGCTGAGTTGAAATGATAGACGTGATGAGCTTGGCTTATATGGTAGATAAATGTTTTTGTTGTTGCTGGGATGATCACCATGGTTTTATATTGATGTACGGATACAGTCGTATATCAATTTCTTTAATGTCACGATCCGCATGCCTGTGACTTACTTTGCAAATATGAATTAACTCGTTAATTATTTTCTTAATACAGTAATTACTGATATGAGAAACAAGCTGAGAGCATTCAATGCTCCAAACTGTCCACATTAACTAGCCACTGGTTTATATTATGGATTTATTTTTCAAGGCTAGCAGGTCTTGTTTCAGTATTCCTTGTCTGTTTATGAATTTAAGAAGGTTTAGTGGTATTTTTTCTGTGAGTTGTCCTATTGTTTTTAACCAATTCCAACTCTGCTTGTTAAATTGTCCTTGTGAAACATGTTTTTCTTCAAGGGTGGTAGTTAATTTTTACAGTTTTCATTTTTTAATAGTCATAGAGTGCGTAAAGATTATTAAAAATGTTTAATTTCCTGTTGAATAGGTTGAAGTTTGTCTCAGCGTGACACTTAGGAGTTTGGTTACTTGTACCTGATAAATATTTATATAATGAATGTATGTGAGTTTCTACCCCATTCACCAACAACTGGCACATCACTGATTACCTGTGATCCATTTATTTATTTTCATCAGTTTTTATATTTTTACACATATGAAGCCCTCATCAGACATTCAAAACTGATCATGCTCTTTCGTGGCCACTTGGCCCTGTCAATAGATTTAAAAATAACAATGGCCTCTGTCCAGCGTGACCGAATACCTTGTGAAGCAGTGTTATTGCACAGTAAGCAGATTATAGGGTTATATCACACGGGGCCACACAGGCGAGGGTCTTATCGTGCTTTAGAGCTAATTCATTGTGTTGGAATAAGGAAACATCAATACACCGTCACAACAGTTTCGAGTACAAATTAAAGGACAGGACCGTAGCAGTTAAGGAATCTTATTTCAGAATAATCCTTCTAAACACACAGTCAGTTATGGAATATTTGTAATACTGCTGAAGCTATCTGGACAATCCCAGTGTTTTGGAATATAGGTAGGGGGACGCGGGCGAACTGATGGATTACTCTGTGAATCTGTTAATTCCTTATCAGGTTTATTATCAAATCAACAAAACGTAATGAATAATATTGTGCCTGCCTCTTTTGATGAATGTTGTGGAACTAATAAGCTTTGCTTACAGTGACAGCTTGACAGCGCCGTTTCCATTTATTGAATACATAATTCCCATAAAAGGGACATACAGATAAGGAATCTTGTAACAATTGTTTACAGTTATTTATTTTTCTTATAAATATTTATAGTCAGCTTTAAGCTGTTATTTCTATGTTAATACCATTAAGTTATATGTGAACCATTTTTATCCATATTCTGTGGCATCTCCAGCTTCAATAATAACAATGATGCACATGTATCATTTACACCATTCCTAACAGACAAAATCTTTATTAATCCATGATAAAGCTGTGATAATTCTATGGCATTGATATATGTATGTACAGGTTCATATGAAATACGAAAAAATAAAAACTTTATTGAATTCGCAGTGAATATTTGTTGTTTAAATATTAAAAATTCTTATGTAACAGACTGTGCTTTGTTGAATGTAGGTCTGTAAATAAACCACTACAGCGTACACTAAGGTCATGTGGAAGGTGCCAGGAGATATGTCATTTTTATTCCCTGCTACCAGGAAGATTCATTGTGTTTCTAATACAAACATTGGGTTAAAGTGCCCAATAAATATTCCTGGGCAAACAGTGAGAGGGAAAATGGTTGTAAATATGTGTAAACATTTACTTCAGTCATTTATTCATTGTTTTGACATTATTCATTTGATTTAAAATTGAAGTTATTTGAGTGAGTTAGTTGGGTTAAATACCATTTTGAACTATGATCATGGCTTGTCAGGTTCATTTGGGCGAAAAGTCGGAAGTGATGTGGGTCTCGGGCTTGTACCTCTATAACGAATTCCACAAGGATGGGTTTGGTGCAGACAAACCTAGAAACATGGCAAACTGGGAATTGAACCCAACATCAGTGCTGTTAGCATGCCTTAGATGATTGGGCCACCCTTGGCCCCAGTTGATGCTGGTTAATTCTCATTATATCACGTGCTTAAGTGTTGCAAGTCGCTGTAAGCCCTCCTTATTCATTGACATAACCCAGTATTATGTCACTGTCGTGTGTTAAATTCCTCGGCTTTCCACCCACTGCATCTTGATCTTACAGAGAACATCACAAATGTGCGCTATGTTGTGTAGTTAATTTGTTGGAAATTGGCATCCTGATTTTGATGCGATATGGACATGTACAATCAGTGTTGAATTCAACTGACATGTATAAACAGTGTGTAATGTCATATCGACATGTACAAACAGTGTGTAATGTCATATCGACATGTACAAACAGTGTGTAATGTCATATCGACATGTACAAACAGTGTGTAATGTCATATCGACATGTACAAACAGTGTGTAATGTAATGACATGTATAAACAAATCATTGTGTACAAACAGTGTGTAATGTCATATGGACATGTACAAACATTGTTGAATGTCATATCGACATGTACAAACAGTGTGTAATGTCATATCGACATGTACAATCATTGTTGAATGGTAACTGACATGTATAAACAGTGTTGAATGTCATATCGACATGTACAAACAGTGTTGAATGTCATATCGACATGTACAAACAGTGTGTAATGTCATATCGACATGTACAAACAGTGTGTAATGTCATATCGACATGTACAATCATTGTGAAGGTAACTGACATGTATAAACAGTGTTGAATGTCATATCGACATGTACAAACAGTGTTGAATGTCATATCGACATGTATAAACAGTGTTGAATGTCATATCGACATGTACATATCTACAGTGTGTAAATATCGACATCATCATCATGTATAAACAGTGTTGAATGTCATCGATCGTGTTGACATGTATAAACAGTCTTGAATGTCATATCAACATGACATCATATCGCATATAGCAAGGTAACTGAATGTCATAATTATAACAGACATGTATAAACAGTGTTGAATGTCACTTGACATTAAAACAGTGTTGAATGTCATAACATGTATAAACATGTTGAATGTCAATTCATAAACAGTGTTAAATGTCACGACTGACAGTGTGGTATCTGTGTTGAATGCTGTCACTGTATAAACAGTCTTGAACCTATCACTGAATAAGATATCACTTTTACAAATACATTTTAATTCATATGTGACTGATTGGTATCTGTAGCTGTCACTTTTAACCTATCAATAAGATATTTACAATACATGTGACAGATTGATCATAAATCCATCAATAGTTGCAAGCATGCTGATATCTCTGTGCCATGAATTATGAGACCCAAACAGAGTCTGTCAGTAAAGTCCTGTATTCTGATCAGCTGACTGGTGGTGTATTGATCTCAGGTAACTAACTCATACAGGCCCTCAAAGAACTGTTTGTATTACCGACTCTGGCTCAGCAGGATCCAGGTGTGGGAAGGGGTGGGTGTAGTTGCTGCTGCTGCTGTTTACAGGTGTTGGAGGATGCTGACACCATCACAAACTGAACGTGTGGTCTGTCACTGTACATGTAACACAGATTTTCCATCAGGGAAAATAAGTCAGCTACATTTCACTTTGGTCATATATAGAGATGATCATATCCAAGAGTTTGATGCTGCGCTATGTCACTGTTCACACCTCAAGTAAACATACTGGGAGTCAGGGAGAAGTCAGAAATAGATGCAGTTTTCCAGGGCTCCAGATAATTTTTCATGATCAGGAGTATGTACTCCTTATTTTTTCAATATAGGAGTACTGGAAAACAATAAGAGTACATTTAGAGTACTGAATGGAATTTAATGGCATATCAATAATCTTGTGTTTCGTTTCATATATGCACCACAACATTGCTACTCTTGTGTAAACAGGTCAGTAAACAATAAAACAATACTTTTTCAGATAAATACGTCTGTAAATGATTCTGAAACCGTACACCACTGCTGGGGTCCGTATCTGCTACATTTTTTAAATTGTTTCCTACCGTATCGTGCTTATTTTATATCCGTACATACGCCGATACGGCCCTTATCTGGAGCCCTGGTTTTCACTTAATTAATTCTTTGTGAACTTGAAGTCATTGACCTTGGGGCTCATGTTGTACAGGTAATTCAGTTGACCAAGTCCTATACACCTGTTATATGAGAGATGTAACTTGTAAATATCTGAATCAGGGACTTTGTTCTGTCTCCAGGTGTGTCAGCATCGTACCCATGTCTGTCGACCTATGAAGATCCGGGTTAGATTGGTCTTCAATACTCCTTGCTTGTCATAAGAGGCGACTAACAGATGGGTGGTCAGGCTCGCTGAGTTGTTTGACACATGTCATCGTATTCCATTTGCGTAGATTGAAGCTCATGCTGTTGATCACTGGATTGTGATGTGTGTCAGGGTCACTCACTTACTCAAAACCCACCCACCCAC